TTCTATTTCTTCCTGGTTCAGTCTTGGTAGGTTATACCTTTCTAAGAATTTGGCCATTTCTTCCAAGTTGTCCATTTTATTGGCATACGGTTGCTTGTAGTAATCTCTTAGGATGCTTTGTATTTCTGTGGTGTCTGTTGTAACCTCTCCCTTTTCATTTCTAATTTTATTGATCTGAGTCCTCTCCCTCTTTTTCTTGATGAGTCTGGCTAATGGTTTATCAATTTTGTTCATCTTCTCAAAGAACCAGCTTTTAGTTTTATTGATCTTTGCTATGGTTTTCTTTGTTTCTATTTCATTTATTTCTTCTCTGATCTTTATGATTTCTTTCCTTCTGCTAGCTTTGGTTTTTGTTTGTTCTTCTTTCTCCCGTTCCTTTAGTGTAAGGTTAGATTGTTTATTTGAGATTTTTCTTGTTTCTTGAGGTAGGCTTGTATAGCTATAAACTTCCCTCTTAGAACTGCTTTTGCTGCATCCCATAGATTTTGGCTCCTTGTGTTTTTATTGTCATTTGTCTCTAGGTATTTTTTGATTTCCTCTTTGATTTCTTCAGTGATCTCTTGGTTATTTGGTAATGTATTGTTTAGCCTCCATGTGTTTGTGTTTTTTACGTTTTTTTTCCCTGTAATTCTTTTCTAATCTCATGGCGTTGTGGTCAGAAAAGATGCTTGGTATGATTTCAGTTTTCTTAAATTTACTGAGGCTTGATTTGTGACCCAAGATGTGATCTATCCTGGAGAATGTTCTGTGTGCACTTGAGAAGAAAGTGTAATCTGCTGTTTTTGGATGGAGTGTCCTATAAATATCAATTAGATCTATCTGGTCTGTTGTGTCATTTAAATCTTCTGTTTCCTTATTTATTTTCATTTTGGATGATCTGTCCGTTGGTGTAAGTGAGGTGGTAAAGTCCCCCACAATTATTGTGTTGCTGTCGATTTCCCCTTTTATAGTGGTTAGCAGTTGCCTTATATATTGAGGTGCTCCTATGTTGGGTGCATATATATTTATAATTGTTATATCTTCTCCTTGGATTGATCCGTTGATCATTATGTAGTGTCCTTCCTTGTCTCTTGTAACATTCTTTATTTTAAAGTCTATTTTATCTGATACGAGTATTGCTACTCCAGCTTTCTTTTGATTTCCATTTGCTTGGAATATCTTTTTCCATCCCCTCACTTTGAGTCTGTATGTGTCCGTAGGTCTGAAGTGGGTGTCTTGTAGACAGTATATATATGGGTCTTGCTTTTGTATCCAGTCAGCAAGCCTGTGTCTTTTGGTTGTAGCATTTAATCCATTCATGTTTAAGGTAATTATCGATATGTATGTTCCTATGACCACTTTCTTAATTGCTTTGGGTTTGTTTTTGTAGGTCCTTTCTTTTCTTGTGTTTCCCACTTAGAAAAATTCCTTTAGCATTTGTTGTAGAGCTGGTTTGGTGGTGCTGAATTCTCTTAGCTTTCGCTTCTCTGTAAAGCTTTTGATTTCTCCATGGAATCTGAATGAGATCCTTGCTGGGTAGAGTAATCTTGTTTGTAGGTTCTTCCCTTTTATCACTTTAAGTATATCATGCCACTTCCTTCTGGCTTATAGAGTTTCTGCTGAGAAATCAGCTGTTAACCTTATGGGAGTTCCCTTGTATGTTATTTGTCGTTTTTCCCTTGCTGCTTTCAATAATTTTTCTTTGTCTTTAATTTTTGCCAGTGTGATTACTGTGTTTCTTGGCATGTTTTTCCTTGGGTTTATCCTGTATGGGACTCTCTGCGCTTCCTGGACTTGGGTGGCTATTTTCTTTCCTATGTTAGGGAAGTTTTCGACTCTAATCTCTTCAAATATTTTCTCTGGTCCTTTCTCTCTCTCTTCTCCTTCTGGAGAATGTTGTTGCATTTAATGTTGTCCCAGAGGTCTCTTAGGCTGTGTTCATTTCTTTCATTCTTTTTTCTTTATTCTCTTCCACAGCAGTGAATTCCATCATTCTGTCTTCCAGGTCACTTATCCGTTCTTCTGCCTCAGTTAACATGCTGTTGATTCCTTCTAGTGTGGTTTTCATTTCAGTTATTGTACTGTTCATCTGTTTGTTTGTTCTTTAATTCTTCTAGGTCTTTGTTAAACATTTCTTACATCTTCTCGATCTTTGTCTCCATTCTTTTTCCGAGGTCCTGGATCATCTTCACTATCATTATTCTGAATTCTTTTTCTGGAAGTTTGCCTGTCTCCACTTCATTTAGTTTTTTTTCTGGGGTTTTATCTTGTTCCTTCATCTGGTACATAGCCCTCTCTCTGCCTTTTCATCTTGTCTATCTATCTGTGAATGTGGTTTTTGTTCCACAGGCGGCAGGACTGTAGTTCTTCTTGCTTCTGCTCTCGCCTCTGGATTTTTAAAAAATGTGTTTAATATTCATTATTGTACCTTATTCTGATTTTAAACTTCTTGTGAGAAGGAGTAGCCCTGTTTTTGTATTCCTTATGTAGTATAAGTATACACTGTGTTCAGACTGAGTATAGATTTTAGAGTATGAGGTGTGAGTAATGAATGCCTTATACACCTCCAAAAATCTTACTGCTTTTTGAGGGGGAGGTAGAGGGATGGGCTGGGAATTTGGGGCTGGTAGATGCAAACGATTACATTTAGAATGGGTAGACAACAAAGTCCAAGTTTATAGCACAAGAATTATATCCAGTCTCCTGGGATAAACCATAATGGAGAAGAATATTAAAAAAGAATCTATGTGTAAAAGTCACTGTGCTGTATAGCAGAGATTGTGACAGCCTTTTAAATCCGCTACACTTCAATAAAAAATAAAATACAATTCAAATAAAACATCTTACTGCTTTTAGTAAAGAACTAAAAGTGCTGTAGCTAAAATCCATTATTTAAAGTACCAGGGATGTAATGTACAACATGATAAATATAATTAACACTGCTGATTATATATGAAAGTTGTTAAGAGTAAATCCTAAAAGTTGTCATCACAAGAAAAAAATTTTTATTTCTTTAATTTTCAACCTATATGAGATGATGGATGTTCACTAAAGTTATTGTGATAATCATTAATGATGGATGTAAATCAAATCATTATGTTGTACATCTTATACAGTGCTGTATGTCAATTATATCTCAATAAAACTGGTATAAAAAAGATAAAATAAATCCATTATTTACCTTCTTGCAAAATGGCTATCAAATGTATAGTTAACAAATTTTTCAAATGCTAGTTAGAGTATTTTCAGCTGTATCACTTATGGAAAATAATTTTTATGTCATTTTGATGCATTTATTGTTAGGCTCAGTTAATTACAGGAACAATCACTAATCAACAGATTAAAAAAATAATTCAAAGCCTCATCTGGATAAGTAGTTTTCCAAACCAGTTTCTACCGTCCTCCCTTCCAACAAAAAGGTAGTACAGCCAATAGCATTACTCCACTCTGCTCAGAAAATTTACTCAGCGTATCTTCCTTCTACCCAGTCTCATTTTGGGAGCTTTAGCGATTTTGGGAAAATGTTAGGTTGCCCCAGCAAATCATAGTTGCTTAAATCAAGAGTTTGAGACCCCATGAGAACAGTGTGCTGGTGACTCGAGATCCAAGTGGGCTCCCCTTCTCTTTCTGTCTAACTAGTTTTGTTCTTTTTTAGACCACAGATCCACTTATTTCTGCAGATAATTTTACAAATGTATTAATTTGGTCATGGATGTTCTAAAAACGGATTATTTCTAGCTCAGAAGATCAGAGAGGCTTCTTGGATGAGAGAGTACATTTTTACTGAGAATTAAGGGCATTTAAAGTGGGTGAGACAGACATTCTATGCAAATGGAGGTACGTGAGTAAGCAAGGGAATTGAGGTCAGGAAGAGCAGGGCAGATAGAACAGTTAGGAGTCGTGCTGGATTGCAGCATTAGAGTAGTGATGCAGAAGGTGTTATAAAGGGTTCTTAGTGATAGGGTAAGGAATTTTGACTTCTCTGAAACCAGAAGAAGCCATGGAACCTCCTTGAAGAAAGGCCCTGGGTAGGGGAGAGACACGATAAAAGGTTTGCTTTAGAAAGATTAATCTACGAGCAGTGCTCATGATACATTAAATGGGGAACAGACTGGGTGGGGGAAGACCGGGTAGGAGTTTTTCTTAGATACTCCAGGCAAGAAAAGTTTGTTAGGGCCTGAACTGAGGTGATGAGACATAGTTATGCCATTGACAGAAGCAGGAGACATAAGAGAAGTAAGTTTGGGAGTAAAGCTTTAAAGACACATTTTAAGTTTAGTTATAAAAATCAGAAAAAGACGTTTTCATCAGTAGGTATATAGAAATAGAAGTAGCTGGGGATGACAAAGTAAATGTCATGAAAACATAAGGGGTTAATGCAAATTTAATGAGCCCAGTGTTATTTCTAAAAACATTTGCTTCAGTTTATTTAAAACTATTTCTATTCTTTTAAGTACTTATGTAGAAATGCATATTTGAAAATGCTGTGATTTGTTGTAGGCAAGTGTCATGTCTTTGCGAGAGATAAGAAATCTAGGAGATATGGTTATTAGTGTAGGAGCTATAGGTGAAAGGACAGTATATATTGTAAGTTATTCTGAGATTTGAAGTATTGATAAATTTGAATAATTATAAGTCTCTTTAAGGTTAATGTGTTATCAGTCATGTTTTCTAAATCAGTACATTGATGGTGGGTCACGATTTCTGTTTCTTGTTTAGTAATCCACGGTATATCAGGCACTGTTCTAGCCCTAAAGATAAGGCAGTGAACAAAACACAGCTCCTGCCCTCCTGCAACCTGCGTACTAATGGAGAAGGTTTAATAAAGAAATAATAAATATAATAAAAACCTTTTATCCCCAAACTAAAATAACTAACTTATATAGTTGTACAATGGTTTTAATAATGTATATGTGATAATTATGAAAACGAAATTCGTTGGTTCATGTATGGAGCTTTCTTACAGTGCTTAGTGTTTCATTCTCAGATTATGTGTTCACATTTTGTTTGTTTATCAATAGAGAGCAGATCATAAAACAGTCTACAGAATTAGTCTGCAGAGCCTATGGTGAAGTGTATGCAGCTGTGATGAATCCAGTCAATGAATACAAAGATCCAGAGAGCATTCTACACCGATCGCCGCAGCAAGTGCAGACACTTCTCTCCTGATTATCTTAGAATGTGTTAGCAAAATATTGCATTCCTAAAACACTGAAGGTTTTCTTGGTTTTTAGTCTGTTAATCTTTACTTTGAAATTTGATGGTTACAGTTTTCTTTGTCTCATAAGAATGTAGCTCCCAATAATTGCTTTGCTTTGGTCACAGTAAAGTGAAAGTAAGTACCACATGTTGCCCTGAGTTGGCATTGCTCTGTATCTGCGCTCCACATCTCTCCAGCTCTGCAGTTCCCCTCAATTCTGGAATATAAATATGTGGGAGAATAGTAGTATGAGAGGTTTGAGGGATTTTTTTTTTACAAGATTAGTTCTAAATTAACTGTACATTAAAAAATTATCTAAACTTAGGAATTAGTTTGAAGATATGACCTAATAAATATCTCTTTACTTAAAGATTCATTTGCTTTCTTGCTAGATATTGTGAGTAGGTATACTTAAACTGAGGAGCAGAAATGTACATTCAGCAAAAATAGGAAAAGAGAGAAGTAATTTAAAGGTGACTTCTACTCTGTCTGCCCTAGACTGCATTCAAGGTGAAGTTTGGTGCTTCATATGGGATGTAGGCATCCTGTGCTGCATGTAAATCTAGTGTTTAAAAAAGAATATTTGTGGCACAATGTGGACTCTAACTTCAACCATCTACACACTTTGGTGTTCAAACCAAAGAAATAAGGTATACTCTAACCCTGTAGGAAAAATGCCAGAGTAGCGACTGCTAATGGACGTTATGTCTAGCCTTATGGTGGCCCCTTGTTTGGGCTCTGACTTTAGAACCATACCAAGAGTAAGATTCAAAATCACTGTTTTTGTTTTTGTTTTTGTTTTTTTTAAAAAAAATCTAAATGTGTTTGATGTGACTTGACTTTGACTTTGTTGATAAGATTTTGAGGACAGATTTTTATTAGCAAAATATCTTAATTTCTGGGCTTCCCTGGTGGCGCAGTGGTTGAGAGTCCGCCTGCCGATTCAGGGGACATGGGTTCGTGCCCTGGTCCGGGAAGATCCCACATGCCGTGGAGTGGCTGGGCCCGTGAGCCATGGCCGCTGAGCCTGCGTGTCTGGAGCCTGTGCTCCGCAACGGGAGAGGCCACAACAGTGAGAGGCCCGCGTACCGCAAAAAAAAAAAAAAAAAACTTAATTTCTGGTAAATCCATAAAAAGAGCTAAGTCTCTAAATTATACATGAGAAAATGAGGCATAAGGAAAAAATTGACTAGGTTAAAATAGTTTGAAAAGTAGTAAGATAAAATTACTATTTATGTAGCAAATACAGAATATATAACAAATTAGTATTTACAGAACATGGCATGTTCATCTATCTGAAATATGATTTTTTTGGAGCAAGAGTGATTGATTATATATCATCTCTTTTGGTGTTTAATATGTATTTTTACTCTTTTTCCTTCAATGAGTATATGTGATATAAAAAAGATAGAAAATAAAGTATGATATAAATCAAGAGCTTAAATTTTATATAATTTATATCTACTGTGAGAAAAGATTGCTTACTTACCATTAGTGAATTCCTTTGATTTCTAGGAAAAAAGTATATTTAGTTTTTTACTTAATTTTTTCAAATAAAATATTAAACTGTTTTTAGAGCAGCAATCATTGCAGTATTTTTATACATTGCATCAGTGTGTTTTTAGAAAATATGCTAATAGGAAAGGAAGTACAATATAGGGCCAAATTGAGATAACCAATGGAAGATTGATGAGCAGAATGTGGTATCAGTGTGATCTTGAAAACTTAATTAAAATAAGTGATTGTAAGTGTTAATTCATTAGCTTAACACTGCATTTGCTATTTACTTCATAGTTTGCATCTTGAACTGTTTTGAGATGGCGTAAGTATAACCTTAGGTAATGCGTGTCAGCCTTTCCTTCAGAGAGAAAAGGTATTTGCCTGACCAAAACCCTCTCTGGTTGAACGTTTCCATTTCTTTCTTTGTGCTTGTACTTGGAACAGGTGAATGTTATCTGAGAAAAATCACACAAATAGACTGATTGACTTTTTAGATTCATGATCACAGTCTTCAAATGGCACTCAATATTGCTTTGTAGTTCTACTCTGTCTCTGGTAAACTCACCTCCCCACTTTTCAGTTTGACTTTTCCACCCTCACTTAGTTAATGACCTTCATAATTCATTGAGAAAACAGCTGGTAGGCTAATCTCCTGCATTTTTCTACCCTCATATATTGCACTCATCTTCCTCTTTCCTCCTTTTGTGTTGGAGACAGTGTACCTCCTCCTGTGACAGGCTGTTCCCAATGGACTCTGGATTCCATTCTCTCACCTTCTCAGAGATGTTTCTGAGTTATCCCTCTCTTTTGCTTCAGCAACTTGTGACTTCTCTGTAGGATTATTCTCGACAGCATACACAGTGCTCTAGTGTTGATAGTATTTTTTAAAACTTTCCATCTCCCAGATCCTCACACCTCCATTTCTCTGCTGCTTTTTTTTATGATCGTCTGTGCGTGCTGTCTTATATTTCTGCTGCCATTATGTCTTAAATTAGCCCCATATGGCTTTAGCATCACCACTACAACACAACTAACCCTGATGAGATCTCCATAGTTATTATATGTTGTCAAATCCAATGGATTCTTCTCATTCCTTATTTTATTAAACTTTCAATAGCATTCCACACACTTATGTCTGAAATACTATACTTCCTAGGCTTTCACAGCACAACTTTCTGCTAGTTTTCCTTCCACTTCATTAGCCAAACCCCTCTCAACCTCCTTCCCTGGTTCTTTTGCCTCTTTGTTACCAAGTTCGCATACTCTAGGGCTTCATCCTCAAATTTTTTTCCTTGCTTTAGGAGTTTTTTATTATCTCACTATAGCTTGGCCTTTTCTGACTGCTATTAGCTCACGTCCTTAGGTCTATCCATATAGTGGAATACTCTACAGTAGTGAAAAATGAAGTAATTTCCAAATACATAATGTTGAACAAAAAAGAAATTGCAGAATAATATAGTATGAGTCCATTTATAGAATTTTTTAAAAAGATAAAACAAATTTATACATTATTCATGGATACACATGTGGTAAAGCTATAAGGAAATATAGGAAATGATGCGGAATTCAAGATTATCTTACAGGATCTTTAGAAGTTACTAATGTTCTGTTCTTACAATGGAGTGTTGGTATATGTATATTCATTTTGTTATTTTCTAAAATTTACATATATGTGACGTGAACTCTTGTCTATATATTCCACAATTTTAAAAAGAGTTTAAAAAAATTGTTTAACACAGGGCCTGGGGTAAAGTTAGAACTCAGTATGTGTTAGCTAATATTTTTCATTGTGTTTGTTATTAAACACATTTATTAAGTACCAACTAGGGCAGGCTCTGTGATAAGCAACAAGGTTTTAAAAGATCACTAAAATGTGCTTCTGTCATTGAATTCCCTGTCTTGCACAGGTATCACATGTATTATAAGTAGACACAATGCAGTTTGATAGGGTGTTTGTGCATGTAGGTAAGAGGAAAAAATGAACTAACATCATTTTTTTTTTTTAATTTTTTTATTTTATTTTTACTTGTTGACAGTTTGCTTTATTTATTTTTATTTATGGCTGTGTTGGATCTTCGTTTCTGTGCGAGGGCTTTCTCTAGTTGTGGCAAGCGGGGGCCACTCTTCATCGCGGTGCGCGGGCCTCTCACTCTCGCGGCCTCTCTTGTTGCGGAGCACAGGCTCCAGACGCGCAGGCTCAGCAGCTGTGGCTCACGGGCCCAGTTGCTCCGTGGCATGTGGGATCTTCCCAGACCAGGGCTCGAACCCGTGTTCCCTGCATTAGCAGGCAGGTTCTCAACCACTGCGCCACCAGGGAAGCCCCCTAACATCATTTTTTATGAAAGCCACATGTATGCACTTGAGGTTGAAGAGGCTGAGAGCATAGAAAAGAAAGTTTTAAAACACAACCATACATTTTTAATTCTTTGATGATCATAATGGCTGGGTTACATTAATTAGCTATTTGATTAAGATGCAAAATTGTCTTATAGGTTGGGGACATCAACAAAAACATTGGATTAAGGAATTCCAAAATTCTGCCTCTCCCTAAAAGAAACAATAAAACTGGCCTTCAAAAACTATCAAGATCAACTTTTTCAGAACTCTAGAAACCAACTAAAAGCTAATAGCAGTTAGATTATGCTTATTAAAAAACTAAGCAAAACAAGCTGAGTCTTGGTATGCTTTGTGGTATTTTAACTTAGGCTAGTCCTATACTTTGCTCCCAAACTCAGCAATAGCCTTGAAAATAGCATCCCACATTTCCTAGTACTGGAGAAAGCAGAATGGACCAAGTTTGCAAAAATTGTCCTTATTTGACATGTCTCATGCCTCCCTGGGAGACCCGCTTGAAAAGCTTATTTTTCTCTTGCCTAACTTGGAACTTGCCCAGTGCTAAAGCCACTACCCAGGGGGAGGGGCCAGTTGAGGGGAGGGGCCAGTTGAGGGGAGGACACTTCTCTGCTGCCTGAAGTTAGGACAATTGGTAGACTAAGGTAAAAGCTTGGGAAGAAAAGTTAGAAATGAAATACTTAATAAGGGTTTTGAAACACTCTGACATATTCTTGGCAATCTAGAAATCTAGTGCACATGTCTAGCACTGTGCATGCTCAAGAAAGACCAGAAAGACCCTAAGCACTCACCTCTGGGTAACCTTAAGGCTTTGTGGAAGCAGAAAGTGAAGGCTGAAGCAAAGTTAGAAGTTACCTGCCTGAATGTTGAAGGAATGCCCCAACTCTCACACACAACATCTCAGCAAAGACTGGTAGGTTTTTTTGGTTCCAGACATTGAAATCTCTGTCCAGTCATTAGCTGACAACTAAGCTAATGGACCACTTTAACTGGTCACGCACAACAAAGAATATAGATTTTACAAAATTAGTTCAGGAAGGTCACTGAAACATGCAATAGCAGCCACGAAAAGCACCAACAGCAGACTCTGAGGGATGGGGTGAGGAAATCTGATTTCCCAACAGAATGGGCACATCATAATATTAAAAATGCTCATGCTTCAAGAAGAAAAAAACAAGGTGCTCAAAGTGTGGCCAATACACAGAAGGAAAAAGAAACAGTCAATAGAAGCTGTCCCTGAGTAAGCCCAGATGTTGGACTTACTAGACAAAAGACTTTAAAACATCTCTTCTAAATATGTTCAAGGGCTGAAAGTAAGTATGAGAACTACCTTACCAAATACAGAATATCAATAAAGAGGTAGAAATTTCAAAAAGGATGTTTTTATAGTTATAAATTTATAATCATAAAAATAATTCAGTCATAATTTTATAAAAATTATAGAAAAGAAACTTCTGCAGTTGAAAAGTAGATTAACTGAAATGAAAAATTCACTATAGGAGTTCATCAGATTTGAGCAGGCAGAAAAAAGTATCAGCAAACTTGAAGATAGGTCAATTGAG